AGCCCCTCCCCGGGCTCCCCGCCGCGCCCCCTGCCGCTACCTGCCATGCCGGGCCGGGTGGGAGCCTCACACCACCGCCCGCAGCGCTCACCGTGACACGGACCAGACAAAGGGCGCCGCCATCTTGACGCCGGGCGGAAGCGGCGTCGCCCCTCTCCGCCCACCGACGGGGCCACCGCGCATTCGCGGCGCGGCGCGGCCCGGCGAGTGCGCATGCGCAGACGGGGCGGTGGCGCTGATCACGTGATACCGCCTCCTGTTTCCCCCACCCGCGCCGTAGGAGCGCCGCCATGACAGTGCGAGGGTGGCGGGCGGAGGCGGGCCGGGAGTTTCTAGGGGTTGCTTGGTCTCGGGGCTGGCCCTGTGGCTCCGTGAGGAGCAGAGGGCCCTGTTCCTCCATGCTGTCAGCCCCTGAGGGCTTCTGTCCCCGCTCTGAGGTTGCCCACACTCCAGTTGGCCAAGGTGTCAGGCAGCCACCATGATGGCGGCTGGGCGTCCCCACAGGGAGGGAGCCTGGTGGTGTGGTCCCAGCGGGTCAGCACAGCTCAAAAAGCTGTAGATGTTGTCTAAGGTGGGCCCTTTGTGTGGGCAAACCTCCCCTTGCAGGTGTGCAGGGCCAGGCGGCATGAGGAGGCCTGTGTGGCTCTGAAGGCAGCTGTTCCGTGGTGCGCGCTGGAGGGTACCAGTGAGTTTGGGCAGGTGCAGGCAGCAGGGACCCCACAAATGTAAAATTCCCATCAACCTGTTTTCCCCTAAGGCCAGATTTCGTGGCCTGACTGCCAAAAATGAGCCTGTAGTGGGGTCAAGCTGCTGTGAGTTCGGCGCTGGGGATCTGAGCTGTCCCTTCACCAGCTCCGTGGCTTAGAAATCTTTCCTGTGCAAAACCAGGTGGCTCCGGGGAGAAAAAGGGCTTTTTAACTTTCTCCTTTTGCTGGAGCTTTGTGGGTGAGGGCCACCCACTAGCCTGTCGCCACTAGATGGCAATCTGTGACCGCGGCGGGTGGCTTCCTGGGTGCTGGGGCACCCTGGGCGCCCAGGGTGGCATTTTAGGGCAGGGCAGACACATCCCATTGCAGAGGATTAACGGCAGGACATCACCGCTGCTCCCTGCCTCCATGGCTCCGATTTCCTAAGCTGTGCTGCGGGCTTTTATAGCCATTAAGAGGTTTTTTAATAACTTTTAAACTTTGCTCCTCACAGCGTCCTGTGGCAGGGAGTCCCCCGAGTGACCCGATAGACAAACTGCCCGAGGAGATGATGGAGGAGGCGTTTGTGTGTGTCCCCAACGCTGCAGGTGTGTTTATGCAAGTCATGAGTTGTTAGGGGACAAGCAGGGACGAGATGACCTCAAAGCTTGTGCAGCAACACGAGCTGGGCGGTGTGTGGTAGCTATAAACAGCCACTCACCCCGAACGGGTGCCTCGCTGTTGTTTGTACACATGGGGAGATGGGCTGGGCCCTTGGTGGGGATCTGGGGGAGCTTTTGGACCCCTAAAATGAAGCCCTTGGGGTTTGGCAGCCAGGCTGGGACCATTGTCCTGCCTCTTGCTGCTGCTTGGGGCTTCCCCGAGGGTGATGGGTGCGGGTGGACGAGAGGAGGAGGAGGATTTGGTGACCTTCCAGGTGGGCTGGCGGCTGAACAGCTGAGGGAATGGCTCAGAAATAGAGCGGCGGGGAAGAAATGAGTCACCTCGGGCTGGAAATAAACGGGGCCACAGGCACTAGAGGGGAGTTGGGATGGCTCCTTGTCCGTGTTTTTGTCAGGAGGAGGAAATGCTCACAGTACCCCTTACTGAGACACCCCTCGGGACTGAACCTGCAGCCCTTCTGGGGGAAAAGCATCTAGAAAACATTAAAAAACTGAGGAGGCAGCAGTCAGGCATTCTCAATAATTTATCACAGGCTGTATATACAGAGACAAGCTCCGGCAGAGGGTTGGGGAAGGGAACCTTGCTCCTCACTCCCGGCGGGGCTCTTGGCATGCTGGATCTTCCCCATCAATCCTCACTGGCTAAAAACTGCTGGAGCCCGGAGCCGAGACTTCCCTCCGGAATTTCTCCGGTGGGTGATGGGATGTGTCTCTCCACGCCAGCCCCTCGGCATGGGTCTGACCCTGCAGGGGAGCGTTCCCGTTCCCTACCCCACGTCCCACCTCCTTCCCAAATCACCCAAATAATTAATAAGGGGAGGGGAAATTGGACCCCCGACCCCTCAGATCTTGATCTCAGTCCGGAAGGTTTGCTGGACGTGGTCGGTGTGCTTGGCGGGCTGTCGCTGAGCCCGGATGGTCAATGTGCCGTCGTCCCCCAGCGAGGATGACACTGATGTGGGGTCCACGTCTTCAGGCAGCTGACATTTGTGGGTGAAGGTGTTCATGACAGTGCCGTCCGCAGCCAGCTGGGGAAAAAAATGGGTGAAAAAGGGGCAGTTTTGGGGTGCAGGCGGGACAGGGGCTCATTTTTCCCTCCCCTTGGCTGAGGTTGGTGGTCACGCCTTGTGTGTGGTGGTAATATTTATCTCCCCAAGGGGATGGGCAGGATGTGGGTGGCATTGGCAGGGAGAGAAAGGTGCTGGTTTTTGTTGCTACCCCCCTGGGAGAAGGGTGATTACAAGGCATGAGTTTGTTGGGCCTCATGGGATTTGCTCCTACAAAATACAGGGCAAAAAGACAGGGAAATGGTGAATTAAACCTGACTGGGGTTACAGCCAGGGCCATTAAGAAGTTGGATGGGGGGTGGGGGTGTCTCCATGTCCCCCAGTTGAGGATTTTGGGGTTCTGCAGACTTTGGGGGTGAAAAGGGAAGGGAGGGAACTCCCACCTTCTCAGCGTGCACCTCGATCTGGTTGTTGGAGGTGGTGACGATGATGTCCTCAGGGGCGAAGTCGCTGACGTCCACCGTGAACTGATAGGTGTTGCCCAAGGTCTTCACTGTGCCGGTGTTGCCAGGACGAGCTGCTGGCAAGGAACAGGCTCACAGCCACGGTTTGGTGGGGTCCCCTCCTCCTCCAAAACACCTTTTAGGGTCACGGTCACATTTTGGGCAGGGTCCCCCCTAAATGTCTTTCCTACAGCTCCAACTCTTGCCCAAACCCTCCAGGAAGGGACGCGCCAGTGTGGGGGGAGAAGAGGCATGACTAACCCCACCTTCACCCCATGTCCCAGCCTTAAAAATGGGGTTCCCCCCCCCAAACTCACCTGGGAATCCCAAGGTCTCGCCACGGGGCCGGACAAAGCTCCCGAAAAGTTCCATAGTGCCGGTGGGTGACACCGACCGGTGAAAGCTGCGCTCCGATCGGAAAGCAGACGAGGATTTCACGTTCATCCACCGCTTCCCCCCCAAAACCTCGGATCCCCAGCTCCCACCGGGGAGGAAGAGCGCAGCCCCCTTCCTCGTCCTCCTCCCGGAGAAGGCGAAGCGGGGTTATATCAGGGGGGGGCAGCTTGACGAGCTTTTTAAAGCCTCGTTAAGGCTCCCGGCCGCCTGCCAGACCTCTCATAAAATGAGCTAAATTTAGGTCTTGCGCCGGAGACGGTGGAAATTTTTCCCCTCTCCATCCCCCCCACTCTCAACACCATGGAATGCGATGCTGGCGTTCCTGCCTATTATTAAGGAATAATAATGATAATTAATTAAAATACTTATTAAATACTCCCTACCCCGGGATGTACTTGGGGACTGGGAGCTTGAAGGTGGCGGCGGGGGGGGGAAAAACCTGGCTCACTCCGGCCAGAGCGGGTCCGGCGGCTTCGTCAAGGTCGTTTTTAATGAGCTCGTTTGCAAACTCAGTCTGGCAGCGGAGGCTGAGGCAGGAGGACCGGCGAGGGGGTGCTGAAAAAAGCAGGGGGTCCTGTCCCCCAAAATATCCCTGGGATGGAGTGTCCCGTTCCCGGGGGGCTGCGGGGAGAGAAGGAGGAGGAGAGGGTGCTGGTGTCGCAGCAGAGCTGGAGACCCTGCCCTGAAGCCCGGAGGAGGCTCCGAGGTGAGACCCCCCCACCCAAAGGGGGGGACCTTGGGTGTAAGGGGGTGTTTTTTGGGGGGTGACTACCCCATTTCCCCCCCCCCCCCCCC